TCCTGGAAGTCCACAACTCAATGGGTTTTAAAAAGGATGAATCGAACATTGTTGGACATGGTTCGATCGATGATGAGTTCCACTAGTTTACCTTTTTCATTCTGGGGCTATGCCTTAGAAACATCAGCACATATTTTGAATAGAGTGCTGAGTAAAGCTGTACCCAGCACACCTTATGAGATATGGTGTGGCAAAACACCCTCGTACAAGTACTTGAAAAGATGGGGTTGAATTGCTTATGTGAAGCAGCTAGTGGGAGGTAAGTTGGATATGAGATCCATCTTATGTAAATTTGTGGGGTATCCAAAAGAGTCTATTGGATACTATTTCTATGACCCTTCTGAGCAAAAGGTGTTTGTTTCGAGGAATGTTGTATTCTTAGAGGAAGAGTTTCTTTCTAAGAAATGCGGAGTTGTAGAACTTAATGAAGAACCACAATAAATTCTACAAAGTACCCTAAATAACTACCAGTAGAGACTGGACCATCTATAATCTTTGGAGATCTGAAAGGATTTCTAGGGCGCCTGAGAGGCTGTACCTATTGTTAGAGAACAAAGAAGAGGGACTCCTTTTGGATAATGATCTATTAAGCTATGATGAGGCAATGCCGGACATTGACTCAGATAACTGGAAAGAAGCTATGCAATCCGAAATGGACTCCATGTATTCAAACAAGGTATGGACCTTGGTTGATCCACCACAGGGTATTTTATGTAATAACCCAGTTTCTTATTAATGAAAGTGATGTATTTTCTTTTATTAATCTTTTTCATTTTCAGCGTTTAAGTAAATAAGCTCCACGTTAAGTCGAAAATCCTATTCGATTAATTATTAACCGAGTCAAAGTCAATAATTAATTTCCGAACCATTTATTTTATAAACGGGTATTGTTAATCGGGATTAATTATTGAAGGTTAAGAATGTTCAGAATTAAGTTCGAAGTCAAAACCAAGGTTAAGTCATGAATGCACACAAGGTGCACTATGCATGCACGCATACACGCACGTTGCGCATAGTCGTGCGTGTAGCCGCGCACGCGTATGCGCACAGCGCGCATCGCCGCGCATAGCACATAGCGCGCGCGTCATTAGGCCACTAAGCGCACACTTATGCAATGCTTAGCAACATCATCAAGTCCAAACTCTCTTCCTAAGATTACCGTGTGGGAATTACTAAGGATAAATGTTGGGTGTGCAAGTGGTGCGTGAGTCACCTACTTGCTTGCACACATGGCGCAACACGCACGCACGGACGATGACAAAGCCCGTGCATGCTTGACACCTCGGCTAATGACTCAACTCGGAGCATCCCACCTCAGCACGCGTTGGGACACGTTTAATCAAGGGAGGTGTTATCATCTTTCACCTCCTTTAACCCAACTTCACCCTCGGTTTTTACTCCTTTAAATAACCGAGCATGTGGGACGTTTTCCCCATGTATTTTCATGCAACTTCAGCCCAACTTCAGTGTACTAAAGAGAGAGAGAACAGTGAGGAAAAATAAGGGAAAAATCATACAAATATAGCTAAGCATTTCCGAAGCAAGGGAGAAGCACAAGGACACCAAACCGAGCGCCGAACACACGTGCAAGTCACCGTGCGTTTATCAGCCAAACTGAAGGGTATACACTCCCTTACCCTCTTTTTATGTAGTTAAGTTCATATTAGCAAGATCATATTGATATCATGTCGTTCGGTCCAAGTTTTGTACAAAAATGGCCTCGGAGGTGCTATATAAGCTCCCTCCGAGTGATTTCAAAATTTAACCGGCAAGTCCCGGACACTTTATGCATATTTAGCCAACTTAAGTCAAAACATGATCAGTTATATTGAGTTGCCAGAAAAGTAGC